CCGCACTATTAGTGTGCCACTATACGTCGCTGATCACCGCCATTACTAGTAATAAATAAAACTTCCAGTATATACAGTATACCATCATTTGTAGGTGGTATAACTTTTACACAAACCAATCAATATACACTTGTTGAGTTTTTTTTTTTTTTTTACCAAAAATGTAGCAGAATACATTTTAGCTGAAATTTATGAAGAAATTTGATGTGTTTTTTTATTGGATATATTTTATAGCAGAAAGTAAAAAATATTGTTTTTTTTTTCAAAATGTTTGTTTATATAATAAAAAAAACTGTGGTGATCAAATACCACCAAAAGAAAGCTCTATCTGTGTGTGAAAAAAATTATATAAAATTAATTTGCATACATTGTTGCACAATCGCATAATTGCCAGTTAAAGTAAAGCAGTGCTGAATAGCAAAATAATGCCCTGGTCATGAAGTGGGTAATATCTTCCAGAGCTTAAAGTGGAACTTCATTTTCTCAGTCAAGATTGACTATTTTTAATGCCTACTCTGCTATCATTAATAATTACAGTATATAGCAATGTATATATCATTTTTACTTGTTTTAAACTATTGTTTTACATTTCTCCAGTAACTTCCTGGCTTCTTGCCTAGTCAAATGATGTCATACACTTCAAAACTCTTCAGGAAGTGAAAAGGGGTTTTCTTAGCTAAGTACACCCCCCTGCTTGTATGCTTGAACTAAAGGCAGTTGGATTCCAAGAAGTCAATGCTACATGAATCATCTGCTCTTACTCAAGATGGCAACGGCCATAAATGTTTTTTTCAAAATGATTTCTCAGCAAAACAAAGTATGGAGACATGGATGGATGGGGGAGTTTGCTTTGAATATTAAAAATGAATGAACAAGTGTTTTTTCTTTCTGGTGCTCAGATGCAGTGTAGTGCTCTTTTAAGTAGTATAGTTTTTACCTGCGTTTAATGAAGGCTTTCTCACGGAGACTGGAGCGCAGGTGGCTCTGTTCTGGCCTGTCTGTTCATTATCAGATTTGGAAGGACCATTTGTGTGTCTATAAGGGTCAAATTGAGACTGCTAGAGCAAACTATTTCTCCTATGCCATTGAAAAAAACCTTAGCAACCCTAGACAGCTCTTCTGCACCATTGACAGATTATTAAAACCTCACTGTCCCTCCACAGTGCCAGCTTCAACACAGCTCTGTAACACATTCTTAGATTTTTTTCTCCTCAAAAACTGACAAAATAAGGCATACAATTCTTACTAGATCACATGTTTCTTCCACATCACTTCCTGACCCTCCCAGTTTTGGTGGTTCTTCTGTCTCCTACTTCTCTCTACTTGAATGTGCATCTCTGATTAAATTGGTCTCTAATATGAAATGTTCCACCTGCATACTTGATCCTATTCCCACCCATTATTTTTAAATCCTGCTTTAGTTCTCTGTGCCCCATTATTCCCAATATCATAAAGGACTCCTTTAGCACCGGTCTTGTACCAACAATCCTCAAAACTGCTGCCATCACCTTGGTGCCTATAAAACCCAACATGACTCTGGACAACTTAAACAACTTTTGCCCCATATCTAACTTACCTTTCCTTGCCAAGATCCTTAAGTGGGCTGTGATATCTTAGTTACATAATCACCTGACTTTAAATACCCTTTTTGAACCCCTCCAATCTGGTTTTTGGCAACTGCACAGCTCAGAAACCACCTTGGACAAAATCACGAACAACCTTCTGTTAGCTTCTGATTCCCGCTCACTGACTATTCTTATTCTACTGGATCTTAGTTCTGCTTTTGATATTGTAGACCACAATCTTTTACTCTCTCATCTTGAAACCATATTTGGAGTCTCAGAATTGGCTCTGAAATAGATTGTCCTATCTTACTGATTGCTGTCACTTTGTTTCTATTGGTGGATTCCAGTCTGAAGTCGGTCCAGTCAAGTTTATAGTTCCTCATTCTTGGGTCCCTTACTTTTTAGCATTTACATGTTTCCACCTGGCCAACTGTTTAGATCACATGGGTTCAATGATCCCTTCTATGCTGACGACACTCAGATTTACATTCACACTAAACGGGGTTCTACTTTGCCTGTTTCTTTCCTATTTAACTGTATTTGTGATATAAAAGCGTGGATGGCCCGCAATTTTCAAATAAACTGTGACAAGACTAAAGTCATGCTTATTGGCAATCCCCCATTAATTATGTAAGGCAAATCCTGATAGTCTATCTATCAATGGCACTGTACTTCAGCTCCACTCTAAATTGAAAAATCTAGGGGTGATATTTGATGCTAGTTTAACCTTTGATCCACATGTACAAAATATTGTTTTTTCCACATTACTCAGATGCTATCATACACTGTAGCTGAAAATCAGATCCATACATTTGTGTTCTTCCGACTTTACTACTGCAATGCTCTACATGCTGGTGTACCTAAATCCACAATCAATCGACTTCAATATGTACACAATTCTGCATACAGAATCCTGACAATATTACCCCTATCCTGGAGTCCTGGCTACCCATCAGATTTCGCATATACTTTAAAATCCTCTTGCCCACCTATAAGGCTCTTCATGGCTTGGCACCAGGGCCAGATCTAGACAGTCTGATGTAGGGGTGCAGTAAAAAATCTCAGGGGGGGCAGAGGATGTGAGGTCAGTAGGGCAGTGTACAGGGGGCCAGCAGGGTAGAGGATAGGGTCAGCAGTTGATAGGGCAGTCTACAGAGGTCATTAGTTTGTAGGACAGTTCACAGAGGGTTATCAGAGCAGAGGACAGTGTGCAGGGGGTCAGCAGGGAAGTGTACAAGAGGCAGTGTACAGAGGATCAGCAGAACAGAGGACAAGGGTCAGAAGGGTGGAGAAAAGGGGTTGTCAGGTCAGCAGTGCAGAGGACAGGAGTCAGCAGGGCATAAGACATTGGTCAGCAGAGAAGAGGACAGGGTCACTGCCAGCAGAGCACTTAGCTGGTCTCCTCCTTCCTTTCCCACACTGCAAACAGCCTGGGTACTCAGATCTCCTCCACCCCACACAGCACAAAGCCGAGATCAGATTCCCTTACAGACACAGCATCCATCTGCATGGTGTGTAGCTGGCTACAGATTGAGGCTGTGTCTGTAAGGTAATCAGATCTCAGCTATGTGATGTGAGAAGAGGGGATATATTGAGTGCCCTCATTTCATGTCTCAGCATAAATCTCTCCTTCAAAAAAACAAAAACAAAACAGCAGTGATCAGAACACTCACGCCCCAAAGCATAAATTCCGTCTGCAAGCCAACAACACAATTGAATAATTCCCTCTTCTCTGAGAGTCCAAATCCCTCCTCTCAACAGAAATCTTTACCACTTAATCCCACCTCCCAGCTCAAATCTTCAATTCCCCTGCAAAAATCTCCCCTACCCAAAAATATCCCCCCTCTAGCACACATCTTCTTTTCCTCAAATTTCTCATCATAGCATCCCATCCTATTACCCTTCCCAGCACAAATCCTTCCTTCTCACCCAAACCCCCCAAATTCCCCTTCCTATCACAAATCTTCCCCAGCCCTCTCCTCTTAACCTAAATTCCCCCCTCTCATCCTAGCACAACACCCTCCCCAATCCCCCTCTCAGCCCAAATCCCCCACCCCCTCTCAGCAAAAACTCCTACCCTCAATCCCCCCTCCTAGCACATATTCCCCCAATCCCCTCTCCTTGCACATACCCCCCCCAATCTCCCCTCCTAGCACACATTCCCCAATCCCCCTCCTAGCACATATTCCCTCAATCCCCCCTTCTAGCAAATATTCCCCCAAACCCCCCTCCTAGCACATATCTCCCCCAATCCCCTCTCCTTGCACATACCCCACTCCTAGCACACATTCCCCAATCCCCTCTCCTAGCACATATTCCCCAATCCCCTCATAGCAAATAACCCCCTCTTTTCACCTCCTAACACATATCCTTCCACTTCCCATCCTAACACATATCCTCCCCAATTCCCCCTTCATAGCACATACCGCTCAATTCCCCCTTAAAGCACATTCCCCCCCCAATCCCCCTCCTAGCGCATACCTGTATTCCCCCAAATCCCTCCTCCTTGCACATATCCCCCCCAATCCTTCCTCCGTGCACATATCCTCCCTTATCCTTCCTCCTTGTACATATCCCCCCTAATCCTTTCTCCTTGTACATATCCCTCCTCCTTGCACATATCCCCCCAATCCCTCCTCCTCGCACATAACCCCCCAATCCCTCCTCCTCACACATATTCCCCCCAGTCCCTCCTCCCCGCAAATATCCCCCCCTTATCCTTCCTCCTTGCACATACCCCCCCCATCCCCCTACTCCTTGTACATATCCCCCCCCTAATTCCTCCTCTTTGTACATATCCCCCCTAATTCCTCCTCCTCGCACATATCCCTCCTAATTCCTCCTCTTTACACAACCCCCCCCAACCCCCCTCCTAAGACATATCCCCCTCCTAGCAGATATTCCCCTCCAATCCCCCCTCCTAGCAAATATCCCTCCCTAGTGCAAATAGTCGCTAATCCCTCTACCTCTAATCTCAAACACAAATTATTTACACCCCCCTCCCTCCACACACACACACAGGATCGCTAGTTCGGACTGCACACAGGTTAATTACCTGCACCCTGCACACATTACCTCCTGCAGGGACTTGGTGGAGGCAGGGTGCAGGTAATTAAACTGTGCATTCCAAACTAGCGATCCTGTATGTTGGTGTAGGAGAGCTCCACTAGGGTACAGCACAACCTCTCCCCTGTCAATCGCGGCCACTGTCTGCCCTTAGCTGAACACAGATTACTGCACCAGTCTGCGCACTCTTGTCCTGGTCCGGCCTTGGCGAAGGCGCTATATAAAATAACGTTTATTATTGTTTTTATTATGATTTAGTGTGCAACTGTTGTGCACAATTATTTAACTACTTCCCCTCAGGTGCACAAAATCACGTATATATACGTGATTTTGCAATTCCAGGTAGTGGCTGCGCCCTTCTGGCACCCCCATTCACAGCCTCAGCTGTCAATCACCGGGTCCAGGCCGGTGATTACTGAGTATCTCCGATGGGGGAGAGACCTGTATGTAAACAATACAGATCACTCCCCTGTCAGTTCCTGCACACTGTTTTGTATGGCCCTGCATAGCAGTCATACAGAGCAGTGTGCTTACAGTGAAGCACACACACAGCCCCCATAGTGAAACAGCACACAGTTAATGCTTTGATCACCCAAGATGTTAACCCCCTCCTGCTCAGTGCCATTAGTACAGTGTCAGTGCTTTTTATTAGCACTGATCACTGTATTGGTGTCACTGGGGATGTCAGTGACACCAAATCAGTCCCCCCCAGTGTCAGAATGCCTACCGCAGTCCCGCAGTCACGCTATAAGTCGCTGATTAGGAAACAATATCTAAAAGAATGTGGTGCTACTCATGAATCCCCAAAACACTATAATAAAATAAAGTAAAAATAAAAAGTGCCACTCTAAATAAACCTTGATAAAAAGTAAATAATATATACAATAGGCCACGTGAATCAATAATATATATAATAATCAAGTGGTCATGGTGATCAAAATAAAACTAATACATATATACCATGACATAAAATAGTGCATAAACTCAGTGTATTGACAATTTTATATTATACCAAAAAAATGTGAATACTTCTCAACGATATGACCAACACATGAATACGGTTTAAAATAAATGGTAATAATGATGAAAAACTGTGGTAACACGTGCAAATACAGTGCAAATACCACACTAAAAAACAACTAAATAAATATAATGTGTAAAAAATGTCCGATAAGTGGGTGACACCACTACTGCAATTCCAAACACGCGTGACCATACAGTGAAGTGACTCCAGGTGCAGAAACTCCAACAAACGGCTAGATTAGCCTCTCACCTCCAGGCTTTGACCCGTAAGTGTCAAAGCGTATAGTGGGATCAAACCCTCAGATCCTTTCAGCATATACTGGTGTCCACTGGTCCGCTCTCCCCATACACTGATCTCTTTCTCTAGGAGACCGCTGATCGCTCAGATGTTCATCACTCTTTTTTAGTGTGGTATTTGCACTGTATTTGCACGTGTTACCACAGTTTTTCATCATTATTACCATTTATTTTAAACCGTATTCATGTGTTGGTTATATCGTTGAGAAGTATTCACATTTTTTTGGTATAATATAAAATTGTCAATACACTGAGTTTATGCACTATTTTATGTCATGGTATATATGTATTAGTTTTATTTTGATCACCATGACCACTTGATTATTATATATATTATTGATTCACGTGGCCTATTGTATATATTATTTACTTTTTATCAAGGTTTATTTAGAGTGGCACTTTTTATTTTTACTTTATTTTATTATAGTGTTTTGGGGATTTATGAGTAGCGCCACATTCTTTTAGATATTGTTTCCTATTCAGATCATGGGTATATGATTTAATGTTGGCAGCTTCTCTCTTTAGTTTATTTAATATATTTTTTGGTGTATAGTAGAGTGAGAGGTTCACACCATCTTGGTTAGTTTCTATTTTAGTTTATTATTTTTTGTTGTATAGTAGCGCGGGAGGTTCACACCATCCTTATAAGTCGCTGATTGCTGCCATTATTAGTAAAAAAAATTCCAATATATATACCGCCATTTTTAAACGCTATAACTTTCATGAAAACCAATTAATTTACACATATTGGTAGGATTTTTTTTTAGCAAACATAGCAGAATACATTTTGCCCTAAATTTATGATGAAATTTGATTTTGACATTTTTTTTTCTGGATATGTTTAATAGCAAAAGTCAAGAATTTTGTTTTAATTCTCAAAATTGTCTTTTTTTGTTTATAGCACAATAAATAAACCAACAGGCAATCAAACCGAAAGAAAAAAGGCGATAAATTTAATTTGGGTGCAACGTTGCATGACCACACAATTGTCAGTTAAAGTATCACAAAAATGGCCTGGTCAGGAAAGAGAGGTAAATCCTCTGGAGGTCAAGTGGTTAATAATTATTTTAATATTCGAATATTTAGAAATATTTAAATGTGATCTGTTGATTTTAATTAATTTCTTTAGGTATGAAACATTTTGGGTATGAAGCATCATGATGGTTTCAATCTCCGGGGGAAGGTTTTGTACAGAATGTCGTTAGAGGTTTATTTCGTGTGTAAGCTGTTTGGTTGATACAAGTCCTCCGAGACAGTAGGGGGAGCTGGTGAGCCATAGCAGAGTATGAGGAAGGTTTCCTTGTCTTGGTCCGTTGTGTAGTGAGGGCGGAAGCAGCGCTGGCTGCAGATGTGTAGCTTAGAATGGTGAGTGTTATGTGTGTGCTGTCATTACACAGCCTCCCCCGGCAGGACCTGCACTGTGTTTGCCTGCCCATAGATTACACGAAGCTGTTATCTGTATAATAAGGAGCGGGATTTCTTGTGCTAACACTGAATAGCAGCCTCTTGGAACAGCCAACTAGAGAAGTATATGGCTGTATACATGTAGAGAAGTGCTGATAATAAAACAATGGCCAGGGTTAGTACACTAAACCTCTATTGTTCTAGGAAAGAGCAAGGATGGAATCAGCAGATTGGCTGTAAAGCAAACGTTTACATTTTCTACACACATAAAAATCTGCATATTTGGCTGTAAAATTACTTAAACCCCCCAGACCGTGATATATTTTCTGAAAGCAGAAGCCCTGTAGAATAAAAAAAAGATGAGAGTTGCACATTTGTATGTCACGTGATATCTGCGCAACTGTTTTTGTTAACCACTTGCCCTCCTGAGGATTTACCCCCCCCTTCCTTACCAGGCCATTTTTTTTCGTTGCGTTACATTAACTGACAATTGTGCGGTCATGCAACGCTGCACCCAAATGAAATTTACATCCTTTTTTCTCCCCCACAAATTGAGCTTTCTTTCGGTGGTATTTGATCGCCTGTGCGTTTTTTATTTTTTGCGCTATAATAAAAAAATAAAACCTACAATTTTGAGAAAAAAAACAATATTTTTGACTTTTGCTATTAAACATGTCCAATAAAAATGTTAAAAAATCAAATTTCTTAATAAATTTACACCAAAATGTATTCTGCAACATGTCTTTGCTAAAAAAAAAAATCCCAATACGTGTAAATTAATTGGTTTACGTGAAAGTTATAGCGTTTAGAAATGGCGGTATATATACTGGGATTGGTAAAACATTTTTACTAGTAATGGCGGTGATCAGCGACTTATAGCGGGACTGCGGTGGGCATTCTGACACTGGGGGGAGCTGTATATAAACTATTATTCCTGCGCCAACAGATTCCCACAGGTTCTATACTGCTGCTGTGCACTGTGCAAAAAAACACAAACCACAATAAATAATGAATAAACCAGCGCAAACATAGACCTCTACACACCATCAATACATAAAGTGCATCATAATAATTAAAATTAATAGTGAAAGTCCACAGAAAACACCCAAAAGGATTTTTTTGTCCTTGATATATATATATCAAGTGAAACAATTAGAAAAAAAATGTTTTTTTTTTTTGTAAAAATTTTTTTTAGTGAAAAAATGATTAATATTAATCAAGTGAAATTCTTCTTTCCCAAAGAATCTTCAAATACACCAAAAGAACTTCCACCTTCCACTGGGGGGAACTGACTTGGTGTCACTGACATCCCCAGTGACACCAATATAGTGATCAGTACTAAAAAATGTACTGACACTGTACTAATGGCACTGGGTAGGAAGTGGGGGCAATCAAAGGGTTAACTGTGTTTAAGGACTGTTTTACTAATGGGCTGTGTCTGTGTGCTTCACTGTAATCACACTGCTCTGGATGGCTGTGCTGTGCACAGCCATCCTGATCTGTGTTTCCGAGCTGACAGGGAGGAGAACTGTTAGTAAACAAAACAGTCCTCCCTGTCGGAGATCTTCGGAAGTCACCGGGCGCCGGCAAGTAATTACCGCCCTCGACCCAGTGATTGACAGTCACGAATGGCGGCGTGGGTAGCTACCCGTAAATGCAAAATCATGTATATATATATGTGTAAATATATCGTAAAGTTGATTCATGGAATATCAGATTGCCTCTCAGGGGATCAGGAAGGAATTTTTTCCCCTGCAGGAGAAAATTGGATCATGCTTTGCTGGGTTTTTTTTTTACCTTCCTCTGGATCAACTGTGGTTATAGAATTTTTTTTTTTTTTTTTTTTTTAATGGTTGAACTGGATGGACTTTTGTCTTTTTTCAGCCAGACTAACTATGTAACTATATACGTGATTTTGCGCACCCGTGCTGCCCTGTAGCAGTATGTCTGCTATAGGGCGGATGAGAAGCAGTTAAACACTGTTTTTCTGGAAAAAATATAATAAACGCACAATATACTACCTTTTTTTTTTTTATAAAAGATGAGGTTGCATCACATAAATAGATACTAAACATGCCAAGTTTTAAAATTGCATGCGCCCTTGATATCACGTAAAAAAAATACAGCACCCAAAAATCTCCATAGGTGACGTTTTAAAAGCTGTTACAGTTAATCAGTTTAGAGTTAAAGGGGAGTTCCACCCAAAAGTGGAAGCTCTGCTTATCTGCCTCCCCCCAATCCGCTGCCACATTTGGCATGTTTTGGAGGGGAGTGGGTACCTGGTTTTCATAGGTACCCTCTCCCACTTCCAGCTCAGTTTGCTGCTGCGAAGTGAGCTGGAAGTTTAGCTCCCCTCCTTCCTCCCGCAGTTCTCTGGGTCCCAGAAGACTGCAGCCCATTCACGCGTGCTTCGCACATGTGCAGTAGGAAACCGGCTGTTAAGCCGCAATGCTTCAAGATGGCGGCACCAGCACCTGATAGCCAATTGAAGAATTGGGTCGGGGTGAGGACAGCACTGGATCCCTGGACAGGTAAGCACCATAATATTAAAAGTCAGTAGCTAGAGTATTTGTAGCTGCTGACTTTTAATTTCTTTTTTTTTTTTGGGGTAGGTTGGTCGCGGAACTCTGCTATAAGGACCAGTTCACACCACAAAAACACACTCTGGATACGTTTTTGCTTACATTTCACACCACACTCTGTTTCGGTGCATTTGTTATGTGTTTTGCTATGTTCCAGTACAGTTCTGTGCGGAAAAAAATGCAGCATGTTTTTCTTTTCTGCACCAGAAACTGACTGCACTGGTGTGAACTACGCCCATTGGAATACATGGAAAACATTGTGCATGTATTTTTGATGCAAAAAAAAATACTGGATTGCATCTGGTGTGAACAAGCCCTCAAGTATTACTAAAGGCAAAACTTTTTTTTTTTTGTTTACTGTTGGATAGCGTGGAGAGAAATTTTATTGCTGTCTGTGTCTCCATTAAGGAGATTCACCCTCTCTGTTTGTCCTGTTTACCATTATCATGA